GTGGTTGCATTCAGCCCTCCCAAGACCCTGTCCACGTCCTCGGGAGCAACAGAGTCAAACTCCTCCCACACAACTGTCTCAAGACCTGCTTCCGTCCCCTCCCCCTGGGCCAACCAGTCAGAGTCCAAGCCTTCCTGGATCCGCGCGACTTTGTCATGCAGATATTGCGCAAAATCCTCGGCTCTCCCCTCCAGGGGATCCCCCCCTCCCCTCAGTTGGAGGAGAGAGCGGGTCACCCTGAAGAGGGCGGCCGGGCGGTTATCTAATTTTAAACTTTACTAAAATATTGAGAGAAACTGGCAATGCATTTCATGTATTCTTCAGACCATGCTGTTGCACCCTTTTAGTCTGTAATATGCAGTGCTAAAGAATTCTTAAATCCAGTTTGGGTTACTACTATATTATGACCTCAGTTTTTTCAGCATCTTCCAATCTGGTAAGGAAGTTGCATAATGTTAACCATGTTTGTTTATCATTTAAATTTTGTGACCAATGGTAGTCAAGTTGTACATCTTAAACTTGCCTTTAAAATTAGCTTAACATGTGACCTATGCATGCTGTTCTATTGCCAGGAAATATAGTATCATTACAGGGAAATACAGAGGTTCTGGCCTAAATTAAGATTCAGAACCATGAAAGCAGAATGCTCAATTTTTCCATATCATAGTTTCTTTAGATGAAAATAAATCACTTAAAGTCCGATGCCAGACAAAATACAAGAGAAAGGGAAAGACAGTTAAGAAACAATGTCCTGATTTTGGAACATGTTTTTTCCTTCACTCCACCTTAGATGAGAAAAGACTGTTCTCCAAAGCCACTGCCGTGAAGAGGAGGAAGAGAAATTCAAGCCTTTATTTTTTAAACATAGTTTACTAAAATATTTTTACAGATATGTACTATATTTGTGTCCATGTGAATGGAACAAAAAAGACATTAACTGCTGCATTGCACTATGGAATTTGTAAACTTTCTAGTCTTGAGCGATAACTCCGAGTAAGGCCATCAGCATGGCCAGTAATAGATGGAGCCAGGGCCATGGGTTCCGTACCATGGAGAAATAGCTCTAAAATGCAAGGAGAAGCCTTCCTTCCATTGTAATACCCCTTGTTCCTACAGTATTTGACTCAATATTTTAAACAAGAGTGATGGCAAGCTGGGCAAGTGTGACAAAAGCAATAAAAAATCAAGTTTAAGAATATTAATGGCAAGATTATTCCGATCCAGATTTTAACAAAATATTATATTCTTCTATACAAAGTAAATTATGTTTTTTCTATTGACAATTGTCTATATACCTGCCTGTAAAACTGTTGCTTTCAAAGAAGAAAAGTATGCTAACTTCTAGAAATCTTTCTATGCTGTGTTTAATTATTCCATTTAATTCTGTTAATTCTGCTGCTGGCCATGCCTTAATAATCTGCTTTTGATTATATATTTTCTTGGGTTTCAGTGTTTGGCTACCACAATTTTTGCAACTGTGAGCATAACAGTCGGAAACTTGTGTTTAGATAATCAAGTGAGATACTCTTGGAATTCAGTGAAATAGTCAATTTCATTTTTTACCCAAATGCTTTATATAGTAAAGAAAATCTGTCATTTATGTGAACAATAATCTCCAGTAGTTACTACATTAGAAGTTGTACTTAATAGTCACCATGGTACATACTGTCTCATGGCAGTTTTCTTTCTCATCAGTTATATACCTCATAGTTATCTTTAGCTATTTTATTTATTAAATTTGAATATCTCCCAACAGTCCTGAACAACTCATAAATAAACACATTTTAAAAAAATACAATTAGAAACAAGCATAAAAAATAAAAGATAGCAAAGTTAATAGTAACCTACAGAAATGGGAAAAAAGGACAGTCAATCCAAGCAGCTTCCCTCACCCTTGCTAAAGGCTTGGGAGAAGAGTTTCAGTGCCCTTATTCCATTCAAATGCTAGTATTAAACAATTGTGATTTTTTCCTAAATGGATTTTTAAAGTCTTAAAGTCTCATTTTTTACTTTGTTTCATAAATGAAAATATTGAAACTAGACATTTCAAATGTGATTTACCTTTTTAATTCTTCAAACCATATGCAACATCCATCTTTAAATGCATGAATAAATTTGTTGCTTAATGAACTCTATAAATATTTTGTTTACAATACTACATCTTTGTAAATGAGAAAAGTCAGTTGGGATTTTGATAAATTTGACTGAACTGTTTTTTTTTAATTTATCCTGTTCTTGCATATGAAGATTTGCACTTTTCATTAATTTGCTTTTATTGTGTTTTCCTATATAGGACCAAGGTAGATGGGTAAGTGGTACCTTGCAGCTATCTTAACTCTAAAATATACCATGGATTATTACAAGCTCAGCATACCCATTTTTATCTCAACTGAGTCTCATTGCATAATATTTAATTACCATTGGAGCAAGCTTTATCCTTGGGCTTTGTAAAAGCAAGAGCCTGGGACTTTTGCCATTACAAATAAGTTAGTAATTTTTTGTTAGGGTGACAAAGTTCATACTGAAATCAATACAAACTTTTTCCAAAGTAAATATGTTAGCTGAAACAATATCTTAAATACTTGCAACTTTGCCAAATGAAGAAAGCTTTAAATCCGTGTATTTGCTCAAATCTTTTGTGTTTGTACATGAGCTGTATAAATAAAGTGTGCTCCTATATATTATTGCAGAAGTAGCAAAAGTTTACATGATTATTATGAGAGAGAAAATGTATCACTTAGTTGCATAGGCATGGGAAGCAAAATCTCGTATCATTTAACCTCGTAGCATTCTAGAAAAGTGTAAGTCAAAAAGTGTGGTAGACAAATTCACCTGCTTGAGCCCAACTGTTGGGTAAGGTTCAGCAGCTTTTCTAAATCAGTATCATAAAAAGTTGTATGTCTGTAACATATCAGGTTTTTGATAATGGCTTTGTTGCTTGTTCTTTAGATATTTGTTACTAGGAATACCTAGAAAAAATAAAATCTTCACATAGGGAAAAATACATGTTTGTGTTACCAAAATTAGATCTGAATTCTTGAAAGTTCAAAGTATGAAAGCGAAGGAAACTTTTCTCTCAGAGTTTGTTCCAAAATGTAAACAAGTGGATGAAGAATTTGAAGTTGCCTTTTTGGTTTCAAATGACTCAATTTGAGATATTAACAACCCTGTTATTTGTTTGATATAGGACCATCAGGACTGTAGATTAGAAAGTTGAAAGAAGTCAATTATTGCTGCAAAAAATTACATAGATGTGCCCATGTCATCACTAAGAGTGGTGTTGCTAATGGTATCTTTAATTTTTTGTAAAACAAAAAGAATCCCCTTTTTTTGCTACCTTTGGACATCTTTGGAATGATGCATTTTAGTGATGCTTGCTCTCTGAAGCAACTTGTAATTTTAAAAGATTTTGAATAATTTTAGGGCTATTTAGGGCTAACAGTCCTGAGGATTCCTATATAAAGTTAGAACTCTAGCTAACTGTCTTTAAAAATAAATTTACGGTACTCCCTTTCTTTGGACTTTGTGGCAGCAGTACACTCTGTAAACCAGAATAATTGTTTGAAACCCTATTCTCAGAATTGTTCTTTCCCAAAAACACAATTTGCCTAATAAACCTGATGTTTGTCTTCTTTAATTGTCTTTGTTTGTTTGTTTGTTTAATTTTTATATTGCCCATCTCCCCTACAAGGTGACTCTGGGTGGCTTACAGGTTACAACTTTTCTGAAAATCAAGCTCAAATATTACTTTGAAATAATTGCTGGTCTTTTAGTTGTCTACTATTGCTCCTCTAACGATAAACTTTAAATTGAATTTTACCATATAGTTTTTGATGTAAATAACATAGCTGTTATCTCATCTCTTTTTTAAAAAAAACAAATTGTGTTGCATCTTGTTTGAATGATTATTTTTTCATTTTGCTTGCTGAAATGAAATTTATGAAAGTTTTCTGCCTCATGGCTTTTTAGTATTTAAATCACTGCTTGAAATCTTGCAGTTTTGATATCGTGCAATATGCCTTTTTGGTGAGCTGTCAGTGTTCCTTTAATTGTGAGATGTTTGCATGGATTGTTCACAAATCAAAGGAACTATACAACTGTAATGCCTGGTTGAATTGTGTAGTACACATAACTCTGAATTAAGAAGAAGCACTTTGCCTACCGTTCTAATTAATGTAGCCTATGTCCACAACTCCATAAACCAAACATTTTTAAGGGATTGCAGAGTAGCCATAGGGAATGGCAATCCCAGGAAAATATATGGCTGCTTTAGCAAGGTACAGACCGATATCCTCAGAATGCTTCTTCATGCTTTGCAGCAGTTTTTTTTTTTTGCCCTGAAGCACTGCATAGTTCCATTGTCTCTTGCTAAGTGTCATTAAAACAAACAAATGGAGAACAGAGATGGGAAGGACAAGCTTGTTATATATAACTTGTTAGGGCCAATACTATGAAAAAATACTATCCCAGAAAAAGCATGCCTGTTGAGTTTCAACTTGAATAGGAACATTACTGTTTGGAAAGAACAGTACAACTTTTGATGGAATTCCTACTTGTTTTGTATAAAAATTTGTAGCAATAAATATAGACTTTAAGAATTCTTTTCAAAGTTCATAAAATCCATATTTTGTTTCTTCAGAGCAGGGCTCCCATTTCTGCAAAACTTGTTGCCAACATGTTATCAGTTGCTGGAGCAGACCACATTATCACTATGGATTTGCATGCTTCCCAGATCCAGGTAATTATGAGTCAGAGACAATACTTATACAGATGTACTTCCTGGTAACTTCATGGGTATCTCCTTGTAGTTTTAGTGTTATGTTATATACCACAAAAATTGTAAAAAGAAGACATATAGCATTGTAGGACATTAACATTCTCAACAACAACAAAATTGGATTTTAGGAAACATGAACAAAACCAGCAAAAGGGAGCAAAGCAAAAGAAATTCAATATTTCTATGGTATTCTTTAAATTACACTTTAAAAGAAATAACTGGAGCAAGATAAATATTAGAATGACCAAAGAAGAAATATAAAGAGATTATAGACCTTCCATACAACTCAGAGACAACTGTCAGGCTTGAAAGATATTCACTTGAGTGAGAATCAGCATGTGAATGGTGGAGAAGTGTCAAGTCAACAATTGAAAAACATGAATTTCAGAAAACTCAGTGCTAATTAAGGGTAAAAAAAAACCACCTTGAAAACTGAAAATGCATTCCAGGCAAATGTAGAGCCAGCAATTTCTTTGGCATGATCCTCGTATCTAGTCCATATTGTCTCTTATACTCTCTGAACTCCTGTGCCTGACTCCCACATTCCTTTACACCACACTTCTGCAAATGCTGCCCTTTGATAAGGATAAACTCCCAAGAATTTAGAGAGTAGGTACAATAACTCGCCAGTGTGGGGACAATTCAGTGGACAAGCTGGATGATTCATAAAATACAGGATAAAAGAAAAGGAATATTATGTTAAAAGGTTAACACAGGAACCAAATCACAAAATAGCCCTGCAAATAAACAGTTACAAAGCAGAACCACTTATACAATCTTAGCTCAGGCTGAAATAGATTGTAAGTCAGTACTTAGTGTCAGTAAATTGATATTTCCTTTTAGACTGTTTCATTCTAATACAGAGGTCCCCAACCTTTTGGGCACCAGGGACAGGTTACATGGAGACAGATTTTTCCGCGGACCAGAGGGGGCGTGATTTCGTGTGCAGCCTGCATCCTGTGGATGGGGCTTCCCTTGTTTGTGCGGACCAGTTGCTGGCATGCCGCAGCCCGGTACTGGTCCACGGACCGAGGGTGGGGACCCCTGTTCTAATATGTATCTCTGGAGGATTTGTCTGCTTGCTTCCTTAAATGATTGGGCACAGCTAGTTAGAGACTGCATTTCAGTCATAAATATATTATAACAGCGAATTAGCCCACCTTTGCACATATATCTAAAAGCTTTTTTTAAAATAATAAACTATATTAGAATTTTGGAACAATAAAAACTAACAAAAACTAATATTTAGAATAAAAAAAGAAAAGAGCAAAGAAAAATGCAGAAATCAAAAGAAAAAGATTAAGAAGCTACAGGTAGTCCTTGACTTACAACAGTTCATTTAGTGACCATTCCAAGTTACAACGGCATTAAAAAATGTGATCTATGACCGTTTTTCACAGTTATGACCTGTGCAACATCCTCATGATCATGTGATCAAAATTCAGGAGCTTGGCAATTGGTTGTTGTGGCCACATGATCAACTTTTATGATCTTCTGATAAGCAGAGTCAATGGGGAAGCCAGATTCACTTAACAACCATGTGATTAACTTATCAACTGCAGTGATACACTTAACTGTGGCAAGAAAGGTTGTAAAATGGGGGAAAAGTCACTTAACAAAAGGCCTTAACAGCAGAAATTTTGGGCTCAATTATTGTGAATCGAGAACTACCTGTACTTCCAGTTTTCTTTTATAGCAATTATAAATATAAATTACCCTCTTACTCTATGGCAGGGCTTTTCAACCTTTTCACCCATTGTACCACTTTTAGGATATGGCAACATCCGAGTACCACCAGTCGCCTAGCAAGGTGTCAAAAACTTGATGACCAAAAACAAAAAAAGGAAAAAAGTGATAAAATACAGGTAGTCCTCGACTTACAACAGTTCGCTTAGTGACTGTTCGAAGTTACAATGGCACTGAAAAAAGTGCCCCCCAAGCCACAGCCAAGCAAGACACCTGCCTGCCCACCCGGTGGCGCTCTTCCTCCTGTCAGAGGTTTTCATTGTTGTGAGCATTTCTGTTGAGGATTGGCAGTGGGGGTGGGGTGGGGAGTGTTTGGTTTTTATTCCTCCCTGTCTGCTGGGTGGTTGCAGCAGGTTTTGGTCACTTCACATGACCCTGGGACACTGTGACCATCATAAATATGAATCAGTTGCCAAGCATCTGAATGTAAATCACAAGACCCTGGAGATGCTGCAACATTCCAGCTGATTGGTGCTTCTTCAGGGCTCAGCGGAAGCGCCAGGATCAGCGCCGAGCTCCAGCTGGAGCCTGGCGCTGATCCTGGCGCTTCCACTGAGCCCTGACAACCCCGAAGAAGCGCTGATCCTGGCGCTTCCACTGAGCCCTGATAGCCCCAAAGAAGCGCTGATCCTGGCGCTTCCGCTGAGCCCTGCAGCTCCAGCCATCTCTCGCTCAGGCTTGTGCAGTGCTGCCACTGGTTCAGCTCACTCCCCTCCCCTGCTACTTTTCTGTGCCAATGTACCACAGGTGGTACTCGTACCACTGGTTGAAAAGCCCTGCTCTATGGTTATACCACTGATTACGTTTTTTGTATAATGTTATTTTTGTTCTAATCAAAACTATATAACTTCATCTATAAGGGTTTTCCAATATCAAATGTAGACAATATCATATCTTTAATTAAAGCAGTCATTTTGGCCATCTGAGCAAGTTCCATCATTGTCACCATTCATTACTCCATTGTGGGTCAGGTTGAATCTTCCCACCTTTATGCATATATTAATCTCACTATAGTTGTAATATTTAAAAACAAAGTTTCATGTCCAACTGCTTATCCATCAATTCTCCCAAAATCTCTGGTTTGAATTGTATATGAAATCTTTAAAATCTCTATTATCTGTAATTGAGTCTAGAATTTTCTGGGGTTTTTTACATGTCTACTACGTGTGATGAAGTTTCCATTCTCATTGGTGACATTCCCAGCATATATTTGAAGAACCTTTATATATTCTAGACTGTTTTTCTGGTGATATGTACCAATGATACATGCTTTTATATTCTCTTTAAGACTAGAACATAGTGCACAAAGATAATTCCCACCATGGAAAAGTGGATGATAAAGGTGATGGAGCTAGCAAAGATGGCAAAACTGACTGTTTTAATCACATAGAAGAACTTAACTAGTTTTGTTTTACTTGGATACCGCTTCTGAGCTTTTTGCTCAAAATTGAAAAAATGAAATGATTAAATGATATAACGAAATGGTCATTATAATAATCAAAACTTGATTTTAAGGTTTGATTATTATAATGATTTTGTTATTATAGAAATAGCTTGAAACCTGAAATGTACAGTAAAGTAAAAGTTTGAGGTTGTACTGTTTTTGTGTTTTAGTGCACTGAAAAAAATCAGAAGTCACTACTTTTTTTTCTCTCTTTCTACTTTTCTTTCCCTTGGTTCTTTAACTTTTGCTTTTCCTGTATTTTTATTTTAGAATAAAATTTAATAAAAATGTATGCCAAAATAAGACAACAATATAGAATAAAGTGTAAACTTATTTTTTTGAAAGACAAAATAAAAGCAAGCGTACATTTTGCTGTGCATGTTGCCTAGAAAACACTATTGAAAACTATATATCATCATCTCTGTCTTCTGCATGATCTTTTAATCAAGCCAGTTAAAGACAGCTGTTCACAGAATTCAATGTACAACTGTTTCTTTTCTTGTAATATTCAGGGCTTCTTTGATATCCCTGTGGACAACCTGTATGCAGAACCAGCTGTATTACAATGGATCAAAGAAAACATTGTGGACTGGAGAAACTGTGTCATTGTGTCTCCCGATGCAGGTGGAGCAAAAAGGTCACAGCAGTTATTGTGTGCTTATAAACATTCATTCTAAACAAAATGCTTCGGCATTCAATGTTTGACTAAGTTGTAGCAAACAAACCATATATGATAGGGTTCTGGATATAAGAGCTGTGGCAGCACAGTGGTTAGAATGCAGTATTGCAGGCTAATTCTGCCAACTGCTAGCAATTCAATTCTCACCGGCTCAAGGTTGATTCAGCCTTCCATCCTTCCGAGCTTGGTAAAATGAGGACCCAGATTGTTGGGGGCAATATGCTGTCTCTGTAAACCACTTAGAGAGGGCTATAAAGCACTGTGAAGTGATATATAAAACTAAGTGCTATTGCTATTTTAGTTTTTAGGGCAAAAAAGTTCTTGGGAGCAATTTGGGTGCTCATCTGACACTTCTCTGCTACTCCTAAAATGGCTACATCATATTTGTGTTTCTGCCTTTGATGATTGCACCACAATCACAGAAAAAGTTGTGTGTGGTTTAAAGAGTTGCATATAGATGTCATATTGATACCCTTATGCATTCCAAAGAACATTTTGGTCCTGGAAGCCAGCAGTTGCATTGTACACTTCTCTTTTGCCTTATGTTTCAAAAAGCAGTCTTTTTTTTTATTAAAATTTTTATTGATTTTTATAATTAAACAATAAGTAATATGATGCATTTGTATACACAAGCAAAAAAACCAATCCAAATCAATACATTGTCGGAAACGCTCGGCAGTCCCCGCCTTGCCTCCGCCCTCATCCACTTTCCTTTCCTCCCTCCCTCTAATCCACGACCTCTCCTCCTTCCTCCTTCCCACTTCTACATCCCCTCTCTTCCTGACCACCTCCTCGAGTGCAATTTGGGATACCAGCCGAGCATCTCCTCTTATCAATACAATTGTTATTTATCTATAACATGTAAATACATCATTTTTTTTTAATACCCCTAATCCCTTTCCCCCCCTGAGCTTCCCGGAACCAAATACAGGATTGAAACACATCCCATTCCATATCTAAATTACAATTTAACTAAACAAATATAATACTATCAATATATACCTACTTTAACTCTAATAAGGCAATAAGTAAAAACAATATATCTACTCAAAAACTATATGATATTTAATCACTCCATACTTTCTCTAAATATAATCTATCCACCTTCAACATTTAAACTTTATATAAACTTTTTTTTTTCTTACATTTTACACTTAAATTATCCCTTCACTTTTTTCCCTCTCAAGTCTATACTTTCAATAAAATCTTAAGTCAATACTTCCTGCTTCACAGCTGGAAAAGTAAAATAAAATCCCAATCTTAAATTTTTTTTTACATCTTTCAAAAAAAAAACCACTATAAGTTCTTTACAAACATATAATAAACTAGTTTCTTCCATTTCCGTAATAAAATCTCACTTCCAGCGTTTATCCATCCTTTGGCTTATGCAGCTTGCTAAGCATTCCCTGCATGTCTGTCACTGCAGATCTCTTTGGCCTCGCCCCATCCACTGGCTCCGAAGGCTGTGAATATGTTATAGAGACTGTTTCTTTTTGTTGCTCTCTCTCTTTACGCCTATAAGCAGCACGGGTCATCCTTTGCTCCTTCTGAGGATCTCCTACAGATAATGACATGGCCCCAGGCAGTTCCACAACAAGTTGCTCCATCAAATCTTCCTGTGCTTTAGATGTCGATGATTGGTGACATATCAGCTTTCAGGACCGACAAATAAAAATCCTTAGCTTTTTGAACAGAATTTAATCTGTATCTGGTCCCTGCGAAATTTAACACAATACCCAAAGGAATTTCCCATCTAAAAGGTATCTGCCGCTTCTTTAACTCCTGAGTCAAAAAGGTAAAGTCCTTTCTTCTTCTTCAAATTTTAGAAGGTATTTCTTTTAGAAGTATAATATCTTGTGCAGCAATTTGAAATCTCTGCTGATAAAAGAGCTGTATAATTTCATTACGATGTACTCTTGTGGTAAAATAAACAACCACATCTCTAGGTAGGTTTCTCTGACGTGCAACCCAGGAATTCACTCTAAAAAATTTTTCTATTTCTCCACAAATCACCTCTGGGTTGCAATTCAATACCAGGGCCAAAGCTGTAACAACTTCCTCTTTAAGTTTCTCTTGTAAGTCGTCTTTAAGACCCCTGATTCTCAGAGCAAATTCCATTACTTTAAATTGTGATATTACCATATCATTTTGAAGAGTTTCCACTCCTTCTTCTACTTTTTCAAGTCTATCCTCTGTTCCTTCCATTTTCTCCACTAACTCATCCACTCTTCCCTCTACACGATCAATATGAGCTGCAAGTCCTTGAAAAATATGTGATAAATTTTCACAAAGTTCCTGATTTTTCTTATCCAAAAGTTCTTCTGTTTGTTTCACAGTCTGCAATGAGGACTTGGCTAAGGCCTCTTGTAAATCTTTAAGTGTAATGGGAGGAGGAGGTGTTGGAGGGGGAGATCTAGGTTTTTGTTGTTGGATTTGCACAACAGGAGAAGAAATAGCTGTTTTAGGCAATGCAGAAACTCCAGTACGTTTTGTAGCCATTCTGCCAAATTATTTTTAAAAATCACAACAGCAAGTATAAACTTAAAAAAGCTTGACTTAAAAAAAAATTCTTTTAAAATCCTTTAAAATACATCATTCCACAACCGGAAAGAAAGTGAAAGTTTTCCTTTTGTTAAGAAGAAGGAATGCTTCTGCGGCCATTTTCTTGTCACTTTCACTTATAACAAGTAACAAAAATCCCAATTAAATCTTCGAGTTAAAGTCACATTTTAATTAAAATAAAAATCCCCTGTCAGGTTCTGTCTGTTCCAAAAGTTACTCACAAGCAGACACAATGTAGCAGCAGTGGCAGCAACGTCTAGCCTCGCTCCGAAGAGCGAAGACACTCCGAGCTGCGGAGAAAAGGTCCAGACTCCGGGGGAGTTCTCACCTTCATCCCCCCAGGATCACTCCTGGGGGGACTAGGGAACTCAACCCCTATCCAGACCAAACTCACTTTCTCCCCTTCGCCCCGGGAGAAAGTTCCGAGCCGCAAAACAGCTGATCCGCGCTGTTTTGACGGCTTTGACGCAGTCCCGGGCTGGAGGCTGAAGAAAAAGCCTCCTTCGGCGACGCCTCGCCACCAGAAGCTCAAAAAGCAGTCTTGAGCACCAGACTTGCAACTTTGGAAAGCTTTAAGCTATAAAGATTATTTGACTTATTCATTTTCACTTTGTTACTGAAGTCAATAATAATAATGTAATAATTATAATACGGTATTATATATATATTGGACCAAAAGAGTCATTAGGGCTTAATTTGGGGGATGTCTTATTTTGCGGCCACCCGCCGACTCCTTCCCACTGTCTGCTTGTCCACGGCCGCAACAGCTTACAGGGCTTCTCAGAGCAGATGCTCGGGAGGCGAAGGCAGTGCCGGCAGAACGCGCCTTCAGGGTAAGGAGGAGAGCGGCGTGGACAGGCGGGGGAAGCCAAAGGTCTGGGCGGCACAAGCCTCCTCTGCCGTCTCTCTCCACCTGCCACACTCTTTTCTTTTGCAAGCAGACGCTTCCAGTATCCCTCTAAGCAAAAAGTGCTTGGGCACCTATGGGGCGCTTAGAAACAGAGCAAATTGCTCCGTTTCCAAGGGCCCCATTTGCAAGCAGATGAAGCTTCCAGTCGCCTGTCCGGGCGAAAAGTGTTTGGTTGCCTATAGAGTGCTTCAAAACGTAGCGATTGGCTCCATTTCCAAGCACCCCGTAGGCACCCAAACACTTTTCACCCAGAGAGAGATTGGAGGCTTTGTCTGCTTGCAAATGATGTGTTTGCAAGAGCTCCACAGGCGCCCAAACATTTTTCACCCAGATGGAGAAATGATGGAGACTGGAAGCTTCGTCTGCTTGCAAAAGGACAGAATGTGGCAGGTCCTTCGGCTTCCCCCACCTGTCCACGCCACTTTCCTCCTCGCCTAAAGGCTTGTTCTGCCAGCACTGCCCTCGCCTCCCAAGTGTCTGCCCTGGGAAGCCCTGTAAGCTGTTGAGGCTGCGGGCAAACAGACAGTGAGAGGGAGCAGATGGGCAGCTTTGGCAGGTGTCTGGCAGGTAGAGGGAGGCTGCAGGGGAGGCTTGTGCTGCCCAATCATGGCGCAAGCCATGGGATAGTTGGAGGAGGTGGCTGCCGCCAGGCAGATAATTTGCGGGGCGAAGGGAAGTGGCCAGGACTAAAGAAAGCCCCTCCAGTGGCTGACGCGGCTGTTGCGCAGCGGTGTCGGAGCCTTTCACTATCACTCCTCCCGGGCTCTGAAATGGCGGAGGGTGACCGGGTGAGCTGACTGAACCTCCCCCGCCCATCCTCCATAGCATGGCAGTCCGGCTCGGGAGGGGAGTGAAAAGGAAAAGGCAGGCGGGTAGCCAGGTCATTGAATGGGTGGGGGGAAGTCATCAAGCGGGGAGTGGCCTGGCTGCGGGGGCCCTGTGGTAAGGGTGTGCGGGGTGCGTGGGGCAGCTCCACACACTCCTGTCCCTGCCTTGACTAGCCTTGTGGCAGCGGCACCAGTGTGATGCACACTCTCCTGCCCCATTGTGGCAGTGAGCAACCAGATGGTGGGACCTAGTGGGTTGGCTCTTAACTAGGGCTTATTTTTGGAGTAGGTTTTATATTAGACGCATGACAAAAAAATCTGGCCAGGGTTTATTTTCTGGGTGGATCTTATTTTCGGGAAAACACAGTAGTATGTAATATAATAATAGTAATCTAATACACAATGCTGAAGGTATTTTTAATGATGGATTTAACTCTGGAACTTGATACCTTTGACAAAGTTGGTAGTCTCTCTGTTCATTTTTGTGCCAAAGGGTTAAGAGCTTCTTTCTTACACAAGCATACCTATTTCTGTTTAGATAGAACATTTCAAGTTCAAAATGGGATCATTCTGACCCTGCCAGTAGTGTTTCAGGTTAAACCAATCAGTTTTGGGCTTGAAATACTTTTGGTAAGCTCAGAACAGTTGTTTCAAAATTAAAATCTTTTGTAACACCACTATATTGGCAATTTAAACGTTCCTCTCCTTGGAATTACATGCTTCCTAACGTTGGATTTTTAAATCAAGATTACACTAAATTTGCTATAGTGGGTAAAACAAGAGGATCACACAGAAATCGCAAACTTGCAAAATAATAGTCATGGACATAGGTCAGATTTGTAGATGGCAACAATGATTCTTTTTTAAAAGTCCAACAATCTCTCACCTAAATGAGCAGTTTTTCGAATCAGAATCATGACAACTTGAAGGATGGAGGTACATATGTGTACAGATAGTCCTTGATTTACAACAATTTGTTTAGTGACCATTCAAAGTTACAACAGCATGTGATCAAAATTCAATTGCTTGGCAACTGACTCATATCTATGACAATTGCAGTGTCCTGGGATCATGTGATCATCTTTGCAACCTTCGGACAAAGTCAATGGGGAATCCAGATACACTTAACTGTGACAAAAAAGGTCATAAAAGGGAGCAAAACTCAATTAACTGTCGCGCTTAGCAATAGAAATTTTGGGCTTAATTGTGGTCTTAAGTCGAAGACTACCTATATGTATGTATATCAGAGTTGTAGACCGTGCTATGACTTGCTTAATTGAACAAACAGTCATGATTCAAGAAAACAGAACATCAGTAAGAAACATGAGTCCATTGTCCATGTGTAACCATATGCAAACATACAGATTGCCTGTGGTTCTCTATATCAGGAAATGTCATTGATACTTTGAAAACTTACTGTACATGGTCTGTACATCTTAGATTTTATCCATAAGTAGATACACACCACCCATCATTACGCGCACGCGTGCACACACACACACACACAAACATAATTATACATATTTAGTATATCTTAGTTCATTTTGTTTATGTATAAAATAGACCACTAGAGATCACTCTCAATTTTGTGTATATGAATAGTCATACATACAACCAAACACAGAACAGATTAGTTTGAAAAGCACTTAAATTTGAATATCTTAACTTAAAAATATCCAGTGATCTGTTTAGAGACTTTTGAAAATCATAAAATAATTGATTTGTTGTCAGTACATTTTTAAAGTGAGGTAGTTTTGATGTATCAATGTATCAATCTCAATAAAAGATATAAGCACACGTATTAGGGATTTAGTATATAAAGGATATAAAGAAGTCTAGTATTCCTTTGAAACATTGGTTACATGCAATATTTAAAATTATTTGCTCTCTCATTTTTCCTCTCTTAACACACTATAGGGTCACTTCAATTGCAGACAGGCTTAATGTGGAATTTGCCCTGATTCACAAAGAAAGAAAGAAAGCCAATGAAGTGGACCGAATGGTCTTGGTTGGGGATGTGACTGATCGCGTAGCAATTCTTGTGGATGACATGGCAGACACATGTGGCACAATATGTCACGCAGCTGACAAGTAAGTAAATCCTGAGGAATACATAGTCTGATTTTTGGATTAAGATGTTAGGCAAAAGGAAGCAAAGGTAATGAAAGAGTTTCTTGTAAAGGAACAATGAATTCTAATTTAAGAAATATGGATCGTGGATGCACAGAATTTTAGATTTGTATTTTTTATTTTTTTTTCTGTTCATCAAAAAGATGCTCCCTAAAAGTTAAGGACAAAATAAACTTTGTAAAATTGAATTTTTCCAGGTGAAAATATATTTTGACTTAAAAAAGCGATATAATATTTCACTGCATAGAGTCATCACACCTTTGCAGTGCACATATACAGGTAGTCCTCAAGTTACAATTGAGCCTGAAATTTATGTTGCTAAGTGAGACATTTGTTAAGTGAGTTTTGCCCCATTTTACAACTTTTCTTGCCGCAGTTGTTAATCATTGCAGTTGTTAAGTTAGTTAAATTAATCTGGCTTCCCCATTGACTTTGCTTCCTTGTCAGAAGGTTGCAAAAGGAGATCACATAGCCCCAGGAAACTACAACTGTCATAAATATGAAATATAAATATGAAGCAGTTGCCAAGCATCTGAATTTTGATCATGTGACCAGGGGGATGCTGCAACAGTCATAAGTATGAAAAACAGTCATAAGGCACTTTTTCCAGTGCCATTGTAACTTTGAACGGTCACTAAATGAACTGCTGTAAGTTGAGGACTACCTGTAGTCAGGCATGGAAATTATTTTCATAAAGTATGTTCAGAATATCTAGTGACTCTAAAGATGCTCCAATATAGAGAACACAGTTTAAAAAGGCTCCATATACAAGAACAGAATGTAAAAGAAAAGGTATCTTAGCAGCTTGGTTTATTAAGGGATAATCCTCATTTTGTTTCACATTACTGTGACAATTTTAATATTCACTTAAACATGCATGGCATACCACAGAGCATAATGTAGCATAATAATGGCATAATATAATATAATAGGAAGCATAATATGGGCTGCCTTTAAGTACTCCCAAGTATGTAAAAAAATGTTCCATCTGATTGTTTTATCTGCTAGGAAAAAAAGCATGCATGTCTTTTACTATCTTAAATTTTTCTGGTAAATATTAGGGATATTTAGATTTGCCTGAAATCTAATATATAATTGACTGATGTTTGTAGAAACACTTTCCCCTATTCCCTATTTTTCCCTATGTTTAACAGGCTGGTTTCTGCAGGGGCAACTAAAGTTTATGCAATTCTCACTCATGGGATCTTTTCTGGCCCTGCTATTTCTCGGATCAATAATGCTGCATTTGAAGCTGTTGTTGTAACTAATACAATCCCACAGGAGGAGAAAATGAAACATTGTCCTAAGATCCAGGTACTTTTCATATTCTTTTAATATCTGGTATGCAGTTTTTATTTGAATTTCACAGTATAAAGGAGGAAGAAACTTCTGACTGGGAATTGTATTTACTGATGTTAGGCTAAGATACTTTAGACCCAAACAAGAAGATGTGACCCACAAACTTTCTATGTCTTTTACTTAAAACAATAGGAATTGCCAAATGTAATGTTTAGAATGAAGCATACTTTTGTTAACATGGTGACAGAGACACTTACTAATTTATTTTAAAAAATATTTTGAAGTGGTATCCAATAAAAGATTGCCAAGCAAAGCAAACTAAATGACTGCACATGTAAGGCACTGGAAATACTTTTCAGAAATGTATTTGTTTATATTTCTAGAAAGCCCGCATCATAGTGAAAAGAACTACAGTATTATAATCATGGGGGAATAGAGTTCGAAATATGCAGATCTATCTCTGGAAACAAGATTACAGGGAGGTTAGCAACTTCAATAAATGGCAGTTTGCCTAAAAGAATTAATGACAACAGATTAGTTCAGTGAAATAAGAAAAAGTTAAGGAAAATGATTTTTGGAGTCATTCTACTACCATCTGGTGATTTGGTTGGATGATTGCTTGTGTGCATTTTTTTTTTTTTGTCTTCGTTAGAGACAGTTTTCATCTGTAAAAAGTTTGCATTGAAAGGTATTTTCTGCCTACAGTATGTATTTTATAAGTACTAGTACAGAAACATGAAAGTTATATGTTTATTCTTAATTTATTTGTAAACTTGTTTTTGGCTTTGCCCATTTTGGTCTCAGAAGTCACATTGACAACCAGTACCTTAAATTGTACCAGGCAGCTCATTAGTAATCATTGCATTGGATGGGTAAAGATATAATTGCCCATAATTACTCATATGGTTGAATTTTGGATCAGTTGTAGCTTCTGAATGATCTTCTAGGGTAGCCCTATGTAGAGCACATTGCAGTAATCCAGATGAGAGGTGACCAAAACATAAGTGCCTATGAGTTAGGGGCTCCTGATCCATGAAGGACACAATTGGCACAATGAATGAATGCCCATTAGCAAAGGCTTTCATCTGCTTGTTGCACAGGAGTCCTGAAGGGCTCCAAATTACAAGCAAATTCTATTTGGGGAAGTGCTATCATTTCAAGAACTAAAGATGAAAAAAACCACTGCAACTAATAGGTCCTTCAAGCCACTCAGTTTTGCTAAGACTTGCTTTCTATCCAGCCCCTCACAGTCTTCAGGCATTGAGATAGGACCTTCAGAGCATTACTTGTTCAATCAAGGATTGAGGTGTAAAGCTGGTATCATCTATAAGCTGATATCATCTGTATGCAGATTACCTGCCCAGGAGCCTTATGTAAATATTGAATAAAAGTGGGGAGAATGCCAAGCCTGCAGGAGCCCACAAAGCAAGAGTTATTGTGCTGTATCCGTCCCCAGCTACCAGTTTTAACTGGAAACCGCCTCAGAGGAAGGAGAACCACTGAAAAACAATATGTTCTACTCCCAACCCTTGGAGAGAGTCCAAAAGAACACTGTAATTAAGAGCTGTGGTGGCACAGTGATTAGGATGCAGTACTGCAGGCTAATTCTGCTGACTGCCAATTGCTGTTCGGCAGTTCGATTCTCACCAGCTCAAGGTTGAATCAGCCGTCCATCCTTCTGAGGTCAGTAAAATGAGGGCCCAGATTGTTTGGGAGCAATATGCTGATTCTATAAACTACTTAGAGAGGGCTGTAAAGTACTGTGAAGTGATATATAAGTCTAAGTACTATTGCTATTGCTAATTGATTATATGGAATTCTTGAGTGATCAGGCAGGACCAGGAAATGTGTATCACTGCAAAGATGGTGATCAATGCCAAATGATTTATGTACATAAAACTTCTCAATATTTTGCACAAAAATAAGCTACTTTTTTCCAAATCATGATTATTTGGCTTTGTTTCCTTGTCACATGAGACTAATTATTGTTTTTGATGTAGCATTCAGGTAGGAATCAACCCTTATGTGTGGATAATGAGATTTATAATAAGCTGTTGCCTTTTCTTCTAGGTTATTGATATTTCTATGATTCTGGCTGAGGCAATCAGAAGAACACACAATGGTGAATCTGTATCCTACCTGTTCAGCCATGTGCCCTTATAACTTCAAATCAAGATTTCAATCTATGTTTAGGAGCGCTACAATGAAGAACACAATTCAATATTAAGATAATATCTTGGAAAGCTTTAGATTGACTATGCATTTCCTACTTCTAACATGGACAATAAGTAAAATGGGCAACACTGTTTTAATTGGTTGCAAATTTACAAACTTTGTGTTTTAAAAGAGGACACTATAATAGTTGCCATGATTTATATTGATGACTACCACATGAAAAATATCATATTTTCCAAAAGCCATAGATGTATTTACAACATTTGCTTATAGACTTCAGACATTTAGATAAATTGTTCAGATTGATCCCTTTTGCGGGGAGAGGTAATCTAGGCTACAGATTTTTTATGGGAACATGGTAATCATTTTACCTCTCTTGAAATTAGACTTGGAGTAATTATTAACTCCATGTCCTCTCATCCAAAGAATCTTTTGTTTCAGAGCTTTGTTCAAAATAATAGGATCTCAACATACAGCATTGTTTGTCTTGAGTTATTGAATTATGTTTAACATTTCAGATCTTTCTAACACAATTAAATGAAGTAAGTCAAATTAAACATGTGCTTGGTTAAGTGACTTCTTTTAAGATTGAAAAATATGCAATTCTTTCAGACTATAAACACATGAATAATTAATTTTAAGCTAATTAACACTATCTAATGATTTGTTCACACAAAGCTGGATTGCTATCAAAACTCATTCCCTCCTGCGCCACAGATTTATATGCTGTCTAAAAGTGGATCACATGAACCTGCTTCTGTTGTGTTTGGACAAATTGGCAGCCAGCTTGTAAAGGAAAGCAAGAATGAATTCTGAGATGGCTCCACCTTTGTTGCACCCTGGATTGGTGGCAGTCCTTACTCCTGCTCTGCCTTGACAAGCCAGCAACAAAGTTAGGATTTTCTACAGTTGCTACTATAAACAGTGTGTATCAATCCAAATGAAATGCCAAATAACAAAAGAGCCTGTTTTAAAAATAAATCCCAGGTTTCAGGATTTTTTATCAAACACGCAAGCTCTTCTTTCCTATTAAAAATATGATTTTAAGTTTTATTGTTTTACTCCTTATTTCCAATTAAAAGAATTTATTTTATAAAAATTGTTTTGGGATATTTGTTATAAATTAAATTTTGATTCTTAAAAGTAAGCAGTATATTTTGTTGACCTTTCCTAACCCAAACAAAACCATTAATTCATTCATAGGAGTGTCACATGAATTCATATATCATTGCAAAAGGCACCATGAGTTTGAGAATTTCTGACTTAATGGCATATGAGGACACCCTTATTCAGTGATGATGATCATAAGAAATCATGCTGCTTAAACCACATTAGTCAGCACTGTTTACCCCAAACCATTTACTGATGCAAGCTTATATATTACTTCTCAACAGCTTGCATTTTGGCCATTTGCATCCTCAAGGTCTAGTCTACTCTATGCTACATCTATGGTATACTATATTGCATAGAAGAGGCAAATCAGACTTTCTTAATTTATTTTAATGATGTTTACAATATTGGGAAAATTAATTACTTAAAACTATCCACATGTGTTTTCTTCTCTTTTAGTAATGAGTTAGATATGCCAGAAAAGTGTATTTTTATAATAAACATTTTAACAATTAACTATTCTTAGATTGCTCAGTATTTTCAACAACAATTGCCTCAGTTGATATTCCTATCTATATATCAAATGAAGTTGCATCTCTAGATTACAATATAAAAACAATACCATCTAAAACTTGAAATTCTCGACAATGCAGAGAAGAGTTGCAAAGTTTCTTAAATTAAAATCAAAAGTAGTGTACAAAGTATTGCATTATTCAAACTATTATGCATTGTTGTTACCCTAATCGTAACATTTGATACAGTATTCCTTTGTATCTTTATATTTGTCTTTTACTGTGATTCCAAGAAAGCTGAGCCAAAGTTTGTTAATGTATTAAGTTATAAATCAGTTTTCTATTTCAAGTCCTATCAGAAAAGCCTGTTCATTATTTCAGAATTTCTGAATCTTAAAACAGCATTAGTCTGATTGATTGGTGGTGATATTTAGTTAATTGAGAAAGAACAAGGACATCATTCTGTATTTAAAAAGTTGACTGCATAATTCCCTAGGGCTTAGATATAGCCTGAACCTGACCCTATGGTCTTGCATAGAGTTAAACTGTTGGACATGTTGAGAATCAAGACTCAACTGACTCATTTTTGCCTACCTAGTAATCCAAGAAAAAACAACAAAAGTGAACCTCTCTTGCTGTATTAATTATCAAAACTCCATAGTAAAGAATACAATTCCTTAGCACCCATCTGTAGCATTTAGACAGAGCCTTCTGTTGTTTCCCTGACCAATGGGATTGGTGATACCAGATGTTTCCCAGATAGCCTCTCTCTTCCAAATATAGTGATTTTTTTATTCAGTTTCATTTGTGTATTGCAGAATCACCAACACTGAGATTTGTTAGCGACTGTTCTGATGTATCATATGTACAGATAATCTGAACCAAAATGTAATATAAATGCACTGTGTAACTTTTAATTGACTCACAAAACCCCTTTGACACAGTTAAAATTTGACAACACATAGGAGCTTGTTTTAGGTGGCTAGGGAGAACAGGTGCCTATTTGTTTTGCTTATTATACTGCATATAGATCAATGAGTGTCTTTTGCCAGCCCTCATTTCCTTATTTTACAGTGAGGGAAAAATTATTTGATCCCCTGCTGATTTTGTATGTTTGCCCACTGACAAAAGAAATAATCAGTCTATAAATTTAATGGTAAGTTTATTTTAACAGTGAGAGACAGGATAACAAACAAATCCAGAAAAACACATTTCAAAAAAATTATGAAATAAGTGTTTGATCCCCTATCAGCAAGATTTCTGGCTCCCAGGTGTCTTTTATACAGGTAATGAGCTGAGATTAGGAGCACTCTCTTAAAGGGAGTCCTCCTAATCTCAGCTTGTTACCTGTATAAAAGACACCTGTCCACAGAAATAATCATTCAATCAGATTCTAAACTCTCCACCGTGGCAAAGACCAAAGAGATATCCAAGGATGTCAAGAGACAAGATTGTAGACCTACACAAGGCTGGAATGGGCTACAAGACTTGCCAAGCAGCGGTTATTCACAAATGGAAGACACACAAAATAACTATCAATCTCCCTCGGTCTGGGGCTCCATGCAAGATCTTACCTCGTGGAGTTTCAATGATCATGAGAATGGTGAGGAATCAGTCCAGAACTACACAGGAGGATGTTGTCAATGATCTCAAGGCAGCTGGGACCATAGTCACCAAGAAAACAATTCATAACACACTACGCTGTGAAAGACTGAAATCCTGCAGTGTCACAAGGTCCCCCTGCTCAAAAAAGCACACATACAGAGCTGTCTGAAATTTGCCAATGAACATCTGAATGATTCAGAGGAGAACTGGGTGAAAGTGTGGTCAGATGAGACCAAAATCGAGCTCTTTGGCATCAACTCAACTTGCCGTGTTAGGAGGAGGAATGCTGTTTCCAAGAAACACCATCCTCACTGTCAAATATGGAGATGGAAACATGCTTTGGGGGTGTTTTTCTGCTAAGGAGACAGGACACCTTCACCGCATCAAAGGGACAATGGATAGGGCCATCTACCATCAAACCTTGGGTGAGAACCTCCTTCCCTCAGCCAGGGCATTGAAAATGGATTGTGGATGGGTATTCCAGCATGGCAATGACCCAAAACACATCACCAACTCCCATTGGGAGTTGAAAAACGAGCTTAATATCTAATGTGCACTACAAAAATAAAACATTGCTGATTAACTGAGCAGGAAGTGCTTTTTAATTTATCTCATGTTTTTTTATTTGTTATACTATATACTCCCTCATTTATTCTACTAGATTTAACATTTTCTAGAGTTTAGTGCTATACCTTAACTTTACCATATTTTACAAGACCTTGAGACTCTTTCATAGTCATTCTATCCTTACTTGTAAATTCTCTACCTCATACTCCAGTACCATATTTAGACCGTTGCAAATGGTTTTAACCAGTGGTGGGATTCAGCCAGTTTGCACCACTTCGGCAGAACTGGTAGCTAATTTTTTGTTGCCCAGGCCTAAAATGGATTTCCGGAAGTGGCATCCATACAGAGAACCGGTTGTTCACATATTTGAATTCCACCACTGGTTTTGACCAGTCTTAACCACTTCTGTTTTATCTCGTTTTTACTTTCTATTTCAATAGATAGTTTTCTATAGTTTTATCCTTATCCAACAACTTTTTTTCAGTAGGGCTGATCTCCTCTGCACCAATTTATTCGTGTCTTTATCAGTTGTCACATTTTTTACCTTAGCCGTATTTAATCTTCATCTCTCAACCTCCATTCTATTCTTGTTCAAATCCCATTCCTTTGTAGCAGTGTATTTGGGTAGTTCCTGCAGTATCCTCCACGTCACGGGTGTCAAACTTGCCACGCCACGTGACGTGTCGCAACGTATCGCTACTCTTTGCATTGCTGGCAATAGGGTGGGCGCAGCTTCAGTATGATGAAACCAGCCTGTGGGCCGGCAGTTTGACACCCCTGCTCTAGGTCAATGTCCCTGGTGTGTTGCTTGCTGCTCCAGTGGGAGAAAAGAGTAAGCAAAAGTATCCCTTCTCTTTCACCTCTATCCCCTTCTCTAGTAATTTATTTAGACACAGCCTGTCATGGTCAATCAGTGCACTCCTCTGAAGCTCACAGCACTAACTAGCACTATAACAAAAGTTCTCTCAGGTCAAATCAGATGCCTAACTAGTCAAAAGCCTATTCCATAGTGGCCATCTAGGAAACCAGTAAGACAGGGTAATCAGAAACCAAACTTTTTATTATTTGTCTCTTTTTACTTTATAAATTCCTAAATTTGCTTCATTTATCCTTTATCTATCTTTCTATATCTAGTAACATACAGTGGAAATTTTTATGGAAAATAATTTATTATACATTAATTTATGTTCCTTCTGGTGTATTTCAAAAACGTCATCATAAAAGGCAGTGGGAACGAGTAAATGGCTCACATTCATTGACGCCTCTTGCTAAATAGGTTTACTTGCCAGAAAGTATAGGACAGGGGTGTCAAACGTCCGGCCTGCGCCCATCCCATTGCCGGCAATGGAAAAAAAGTTGTGACATGTCACGACACATCACGTGTCGCGACACTCCTGGTATAGAGTTTAGAACACAAATATTTTAACTGGTGCACTTTTTAAATTTATGTTGCATTTCAATGCAATTACAAACATGCTACAAATATGTTACAAATCTTTGCAACAGTGCCATCTTGATGACCTTCATATTTTACTTCCCATAAGGGAAGGAAATCTTTCATAGTTATATGTTATACTTTGACAAGGCAACGTAAAATGTTTTTTTTAATAAAATTTTATTGAGTTTTATGAGGTTGGGGAGGGATAGGATCAAGGTAGGAATTAAGGTTCGGGGTAGGGTTGGAATCAGGATTGGGGGTGAGATAGGATTGGGAACAACATTGGGGTTGGCCCCCAATAACATTTTCAAGCTTTAGCAAA